CATGTACTTGATAAGCTGAACTGATATAGCGCGAAGTACACGTTCCTAAAGTTTACCAGGTGAAACACATTGATAGTTTATTATGCAGGCGTAACTCGTACAGGGGAATAACCTTTAGTGAAGCAAGCATAAATTACACCCTGTAACTCGTGTTTGAGGAAAGCTATTTAATATGGAACGAGCACATCTTGTGACTTAACTAGGTCTGTAGGGGTAGAGAGACAAAAATGGTGTTTAAAAATAATCAACCTGGGGGGGGGGGGGGGGGGGGNCACTCACACACACAGACACACACACACACACACGTTCCTTACCTACAAGTATCTAATATCTATCAAACTATGACGGGGGTTTCATCGGAATGAGTTTTCGATCGCCAATAAGAGTAACCTTTTAACATAGGCTCTGTTCTCACAACTTTTAGATCGATCTATCACCGCGGGGAGTCTCACTAGATTACTGTCAGATAATCCCCCTTAAGTGTCCGTCCCCGCCTACTACAAGCTTTAAGGGGTAATTAACTTTCGTGTCCGCCCGGCTGACCGCTATTTAGCGTGAACCCCCAGGGAGTTAGGTCGATCCAATGTAGGTCGATCTAATCTATGAGAATGGGGTGATAGACAAGCCCGTAGCTAAGGGGGGGGGGGGGGGTCGGTGGGTTCGAAAGAACCGCCCTTTTTGTCAGGAAAAGGTCCGTTTTGGGTAAAATTTTATATAGGTACACATAAATTTCATTGTAAAAGGTCCACTCTTTCAGAAAAAGACCCCCCCTTCTGAATTTGTTGGCTAAGGGCCTGATAGATGTATCTACCTGATCTTAACAGTTACATTTACAAGAGCTCACGGAAGGAAACCTAAAACTCCATACAGTTCTTATAATGTTAGGTTTTTTACTACAGCTATCTTTGGTTAAACATGCAACTGATATCGTTCATTGTGATATATTGCAAGTAAGCTCATCTGCTAACTTCATTTTAGAAAAAATACACATTCACTCGATTTTTAGGGTAGTAAGACAAAAGGGTTAGGAATCAGCAGAATGAAAGATTCGGTTTGAATGCATATATAAGCAGCTAGGAAACTAAACCAGGTTGTGGAAATAGATTACACAATGCACGTGCCTGCCTCGGCATTCGTTAACTTTTGGTGAGAATTTATAAGAACACTGTACCTGACTTTGACGGACTGGTCATTTCGAACGGTTTATTATTTTATTTTATTATTATAATTCTGCTATGGATCTTTCAACAAATTATTTATTTATCGAAGAATTTGTTTTGAATATAAAAAATAACGTACCTTTGTGAATTCCGAAAACAAAAATATCATGTGGAATCCATTGAAGACATACAATGGAATCATTAAAAACAGATTGGGGTCTTTCATAAGGGTGAAGGTCGCCAGAAGCAGCTCCTTCGTCTCGTGCACCGTGGCCTTTACATCGTGTTCCACTTCTTGCTCTTTCAGGGCAAACGCTGTAATGCACATCCCAATCACAACCAGTCCCAAGTAAGTCCCGACCAATATGTAGACCAAGTGATCTTCCGGACGCGGGGATTGCGTCTCAGAGTGAATGTGTCCCATCACCCAATTATCAGGGCAGCTGTGAACGCTACAGACGGATTGCGTTTGAGTTCGATTGAAAAAGCGATCCCCGAGACCGACTGAGCCATTTCCCAGCGAACTGTTCCTCTCCGAATTTCGATTATGCTCCGACTCCTGTAGCACTAACGTAGAGAGCAAATTTCCCGAGACTTGGGTCGTGTAGAAGCAGGACCAGAAGACGCCGTTAAAAGTACTTATAACTTCGTCCTCGTTGCGTCCGGTGAGGGCGGCGTTTTGGATGGCAGCGGTGGTCACGATGTACCCCTGGGCGGCGTAGATAGGCGTCCCCAGTATCCCGAATAACAGGGCCCCAGGGATCATGGTGTAAAACTTGGGGTAAAAATTTGAGGCGTAAAACAAGAGACCGCAGCCGAGGTAGATAAGCAGGGTGTACCTGGGCCCTAGCTTCACGAGAACGTACGGTGCATAGAAAGACGACACAATCACCGCCCCGTAGCACACACTCATAGCTGCTACACCAAGGCCGCCTTCAAAATTGAGGCTGCTCTGTAGATTCTGCTGGCTGTGCCATGCATTAAAAACCACAGTGAATATAATAGTAATCACAGCCAGATCCAGATATGTTCTCCGGATCTTTACGCGTAAATCCTCTTCGTCCATCCCTGACGGCTTGCAGTCGGTATCTGAATCATCTGCGTGTTCGTCTACGGGTTTACAGACCCCGGATAGATCACGAGATTGAGGAAATTCCTGTAACGTGTCGGACTCGCCCGTAACACCAGCTTTACCCTCGCTATTCAAGGACACAGTTTCAGCCATCGTGTTGACACAGGTACCGGTGTGCTTGTACTAGGAGGTAGGTCGACGCACTCCGGACACGGTAGACTGTACGTTAATTATCCGAACAGTTGATCACGCCTGCTGCCATCTCAAACCAATGTGCATCGACCCGCGCCTAAGCTTGACCTTGATATAAGAAAACGACCGTAATTTCAATCTACTAGAATGATATATTTTACTGTGTACTCATACTCAGTAGCGCTCACAGCATTGATAAACAATTAGGCCAAAGGGCATATTTCATTTGAGGTCGCGCAGTGTGTCGGCCACATTATATACGGAGCTTTAGAAAAACAAGGGGAGGTGCGACCAGGCAGTTTGAATTAATTTAGTCAGTGTAGTCATTTGTGTAGCATTTAAATTGCTTCATTTGTTATCTGATATTTGAATTGTATGGCGAGGAGGAGTGCTTTAGACATATATGTGGTAATCGCGAGATCGGAGAAGCCATTTGATTTTCTAGTTGCAAACTAGTGTATTTATTTGGGTTGCAGGAACCTTGGGTGGCGGATGACGCTCTCGTGTGATTCTGTTTACCAAGTATACCTTTACGTTTGACTGTCGATAAGGTTTACACAAACTAGACGATCAATAGTGCATTTGTCCTTCTCTCACCCGCATGTTGAGGATTACATATTTACACAACAATGGGCATTTTGACACAACTAATTCAAACGTCCACTGGTATATATTAACATTTAATCCTAAACGAATTCGAATGCATTTCGAAATGTAATGCGTACCTGCTCTCTCTCTCTCTCTCTCGTCTGTTTTTACTCCTTAATTTTTTTATGTATCATTATAATTACAATAATTATTTCATTTATCATTTTTCCCTTTTACTGACATTAGCTCAGATATCAGTCTTGTTATGTACAATCAAAGCATGTTTACGTAATGTTGGTAAGCTACATGTATTTGATAAGCTGAACTGATATAGCGCGAAGTGCACGTTCCTAAAGTTTACCAGGTGAAACACATTGATAGTTTATTATGCAGGCGTAACTCGTACAGGGGAATAACCTTTAGTGAAGCAAGCATAAATTACACCCTGTAACTCGTGTTTGAGGAAAGCTATTTAATATGGAACGAGCACACCTTGTGACTTAACTAGGTCTGTAGGGGTAGAGAGACAAAAATGGTGTTTAAAAATAATCAAACCTGTTTGTTCGCACCAGTGATACACTATGACACAAGTGATGGACAAATTAAACGACAGGACTTGAAACACGGCATCTTCTTTTCATGACAACTGCATTCGGGTAAACATTTGCCCAGTTTATCCGTCCAAGATATAAGAGCTAGAGCACTTGGAAAAGGTTATCTCTGGATTCTGCGTATTTCACAAGCCCAGATGATAACCACTGATCCAGGAGTTAGCTCTGTTAGCTCTATATAGTGATAATGATAATAATAATTAATTGAGCACAAAGAAATGGTTTACATTTACAGGCTCGCTAACTACTACAAAATACAAAATAACAATATAAGTAACAAACTATACTAATCTACGCAATGATACACGCTTTTTAATTACACTGTTCACAAAAGAAATATATAAAACAGGTTAGTTGATGGGAACTCAAAAATGTACTGCACAGGACAGAAAAAGCGCCTGGTTTCCCTTGTTATTGCAGTGGATAGAAAAACATTCAAAGCAAAGGGCATATGTGACAAAAAAAGAAAAAAAATACAAAAGATATAGAGAGAAAGAAAAAGGAAAATCAAAAGAACTATGTATGTCTTGCGAATGCAATTCCCAGCCAAGTGCAATTCATTTAAATCAAGCATAGTATCTTCAGTATGACGCGACACAGAATGACTGACTTCTCACAGGTTGCGCTTTGTGCATCCGTCGATATTCCCATACAACAGCCCACAATACTTCACCTATACATCTGCGACCGCCTTCGGTGATCTGAGTAGGCGTGGGGGAGAAAGAGTTGGAAATCATTTTCCTTCATTTTCCACCACCCCCACTTCCGCTGTACCAAAGCACGCATCAACTCAGAAACAAAGAAAATTCAAACATATAGAACATAGGATAGATAAGGTAGTGGTAGACCACATTTTCTTACATACACTTGACATTGCGTATATTATCCTACAATAATTACCATTGAAGAAAAAGGGTATTTTTTCTATGATAGAATCATCCGTGATCACACAAAATCTCACCGCCACCGTAAAATTTAATGCCATTTCGCGGGATTTGACGGAGCGTGTGATAAAAATAATGACAGAGGAACTAGTGTGGTGAGGAAACTTAAAAGCCAGACAGAAGTCATCCACAGACAATTTTCTATTTGATATCTCTGAAGCTTTGTCGAATTAGTCTGTTGCAAGACAATGCGAATGAGTATCATATTTTTCGTATAACTTTGGTATTAGTTTCTAAAACGACATCCCCGGAGCAAAGAGTTTCAACCTTACTGCTGAAAAGTTAACCCCAAGTCACGCGGATTCTCGTGCGACTTTTAGTTTCGCATGACGTCAAGCAGCGCAGACAGCCTCTTTTTTAGGTTATCTCGGAATACAGATTGTGGAATACAGCTTTTAGCTAAAGATAGCACACGATCACATGCACGCCTCACCTTTGTAAATTCTGCATAAAGAAAAGCCATCTGGACCCCATTAAAGACGAATAACGGAAGAAGCAGCGCCATCTTGTAATCCCGCCAAAGGATCACCGTAGCGAACATCATCTGCTTTGTATCGTCTGCTTTATCGTTTTGTTTCCGGTTTGGTTCTTTGAGAGCCACAACTGTGATAAGAATCCCAGTCACTACCAGGGCAAGGTAGATACCCAACAGAGTGTAAACTAATGACTTTTCCGGCCGAGGAGAGTTTGTTTCGGAGTGCAGATGAGCTGTTTCCCAAGTATCCGGACAACTGCGGACGCTGCACACCGAGAAACCGTCGGCGCTCTCGTTCCGGGTTTCGGCAAAATACGTGCCGTTATCTACCTTGTGTTTCGCTTGGCTTAGAACCAACCAAGAAATCATGTTTCCGGTTATGTGTGTCGTTTTAAAAAGTGACCAGTAAATGCCATTGAAGCGACTTATTACCACGTCCCCGTCCCTGCCCGTAAGGATTGCGTTGTCTAAAGCAGCCGTAGTAATGATGTAGCCCAGACATGTGAAGAACGGCGTGGAGACCAACCCATACAACAGAGCTGCCATACCGAGTGTATACATTGTGGGGTAGAAATTAGCAGCGTAATACAAAAGTGCCGCACTTACAGAAATCAGTATCGACTTCTTTGGGCCCAATTTGTCCACCATTAGCGGCGCATACAAAGAGGATGCAATCGACGCAGCGTAGAATATGCTGAGAGATATAACTCCTATGCCATCTTCGAAGTTCAGGCTGCTCTGGAGGTTTTGTTGGCCCGACCAGGCATTATACACAACGACGGCTATTGCAGATATCGTTCCCAAGTCGATGTAGGTCTTTCGAATTAACCGCGAGAGAGACGGATATCCTTTCCGTACTGAGACACCACAATCCGCCGTAAACTTCGTCGTCTGCTCCATCTCTGTTAAACTGATAATTATGTACAGTCTTTTAGCTTGGTCGTCCAAAGTTTATCCGAGGGCAAGTGACAACTGTGGCCTCAGTTTGTTAATGCGTACGTTTTGTACTGCATGATTGTATGTTGTTTTAAGATGCGATGGACTAGACTTTAAACTTCTCCAGTCCTGTGTCTACTTTTGTATGCACATGATCTTTCTCAGCCGCACAACCGAAAGTATAATGGTTGGGTTTCCGGGGTGACAGCCATGGCGTCCCCTGAACTGCGTTAGATATTACTTCAGCAGCAAAAGTTGCGTTCTCGGACGATCGAGTAAACAAAATCCGAAATGAAAAATGCTCATGGAAAATGCACTCTTGACGCAGTGGATTAAAGAACTGATAAAATTATTTAGATAATGTTCACAAGTAGGTCCTTCATCGAGTCTCATGTGTCATAAAGATAAAAATCAGTTTAGAGACCGAAAGCTTCCAGGTACTGCCAACAGAACGAAGAGACCCGATTCTCTATCTAGAACTTATTTTGCTCCAAACCTGTTATTTGAGACTGCTAAGCAACACATATGTAGCAAGCGCTTACAAGTACATATACGCTGCTGAGAATTCATCTACATGTAGATATACGCGATCCATGTACAACCAACGTCAGTGGTGCCATTTCAAACTGGAGGATGCCTAAATGTGAAATAACTCAGCGCAGAAAAGCTGTGTGCTGGGGTCCTAAGTGTAGCCGTACTATCCTTCTGTCCACTCCACAAGCCTAATGTCCATGGCGGTCAGTATAGTAGTGGTCACTTTTACTTTGTAAGCGTTGAACCATAATGTACCACACTGTGACGGCCTCTGCAGATTGAAAAGCTTGGTGAAACCACGTGGCGCTAATAGCCAATATGTTACATGCCTTACATGGGATTATTAGTAAATAAGTGTTATGTCAGAGGAATAGCGTTTCCCCATCTTACAAGTGTCAGAATTCATGCATTATTTCAAAGGCTTGATTTGTGACAGGTTATTCATTCAGGCATTATAATCACACGTGTCAGGCCGTACATCATTTGCCACACGTTTGATTGGGATTTGTGAATTATTTAAATCTGCTGGAAATCAGCGTTTAAAGTAAACGAGGAGGGCTTTAAAGCTGATCACTGTAAACATGTTTGCACTGTATATTAATCAATCCACATAGAGTGTTTGGTCTGTTTACAGCTGACACAAATTTGGGAGGGATTTTTATTGATTTTATTCGAGTGGAGTGGTTAATTCTCGTTTTATCATTTAATCTCAGCCTCCCCCACGTTTACTAAAGGAAAACATTGATTTTGTAGGTATTAGGGAAAGTGACCTTCTGTGTACATATCGGTAGTGCTGAATTCAATAAAAACGACAGGCCCTGTTATTAAACATGAAAACAAATTATTATCACGCCTTCGTAAAATGACCGTGAATTTCGTGTTCATTGTAAATTATACTCTTAATTTGAAAAATATGGTAATCAACTGTTGGCTTAGTGCTGTCAGGATGACATTGTTTGTTGGGCGAGGGATACAGATATATTCAAGCAGAAATAAGACGTGTAGCTCCCAGTCAAGTCGACCGTGTAATTGAAATACCCACGGGCGCTGTACATCACAGGCAGGTGAACGCATGCACGAACGACGTCAGTCACCCTCCAGGGAATCATTCCCAAAGATATTATCGTTCTACGTAGTTCGATCCAACTCCGTAGGGACCCTTGCTGAATGCAATCAGATTAACCGATTAATGCTCCTCCTCGTACTCGTTTAACCACCAGCTTTTTTGGTGTTTTACTCGCCATTAATCCGATTAATCTGTTAATCTGATTGCATTCAGCGTGAGTCCCTTCGGAGTTAGATCGATCTAAGTAGACCGATAGTTGCATTGGAAATTAGCCCCTTATGGACTTCCTAAACCCAATGCAATCAGCGCCTCATGATCATGGGTTTGGGCCACTTTTGTGTTGTCCAACAAAATTTAACTACAATGTACCAGATACGCACGTGCATATGGAGATTCGTTTTCTTCAGTCTCATATTATTGTTTTGAAGACCAAATGACAAAGGGTTGACAGGACAGCAACTTCAACAAACACGTGAGTCCCCACCTGTCAAAACAATCTGCATTGAAAAAGTGATCTGGTTCTGATCTGAAAAAACTGATCTGACTGACTCTCGGCATACTATATTTAGCACAAGATGTGTTAATCTAACAAAAGATATAAAAATACGCCTTTCTTCACCAATAATGACTGAATTACCCACTTTAGATGTGCATCAGGAATTTCAAAAGAATAACCACAAAAGGCAGTGATAGCTTCAGGCCCCACAATCCTGTACTGACACTAATTTTCAATATTACAATTTAACAAGTGGGCCCCAGCTAGGGTTATATAACTGTGGAACTTCAGGCATAACTAAGGACCCTACACAAAATCTATATTATGAGTACATGAGACGGGCAGCGATGCAATTGATTGACCCACGAACCTGAACGTTAACGCGTTTGCAATTATATACAAGCAATTTTCACGTCTAGCGCTTTTGACTTTCAATAATGTATCGTCACAATGCAATTATGGAACCAGGGGAGGATACTAAAGGAACGTGCCCCTCCCTTAGCTGTCTTCTGAAGTACCCCATCACCCCCTTCTTCCGAAACGGGACAAAATCAAGCACTGTCTCCATAGTCTCACATATTATAGTGCATTAAATATAATTTCCTAGTGTATTATATTATACTAGCCCGGCGACAACATTTAACGCAAGTTTTGTCCTTTTGCTCCCAACCCATCGGGAAATTCTAGGACTGGCAGTGCAGTGTTATTAATTCGTCTTACAAAAACATCAGATCTTCAGCTGTCGAAAGCCGATGCCGTTGTCTGTCAGTGTCTGATCTCTTTGTTTGTAGTTATTCGGAACAGAAAAACAAAATCCTGCCAATGTCTGATCTTTTTGTTTGTAGATACTCGGAACAGAAAACAAAAAACGGCTAGTTCTGAATGCCTGTCGTTCCTGTAGCTGTTTTGCAAGTAGAACATATATGTAGATGTCCATTTGGTTTCCGTCTGTGCTTCTTCAGACCAAAATACATGTTTAAAAATTCTCGCCCTTTTTTGTGGTTGTTGTTGATGAGTAACTCCTCTATCCGAGAGCAGACAGTTTATCTGTCTGTCCGCCCAAAACGCATTAAATGAGATGGATAGTGTATTTCACAGTTCAAGGTTACCACATTTATTATATAGTGAGACTTGGTACATTTAGAGGCAAACAGTGCCTCTTAGATGTTTATGTAGAAAAAAACGGCGCAAAATGATTTTCCTGTAATTTGCAACAAATTTCTTTTTATCATTAAGATTAACCCTATAACTCAAAACCTGTCTGAAAACGTTCACTTGATTTATAGATCGTAACTCAATAAACAGTTTTGGACATACAGTAGCATTCCTTAGTGACCAAAGAAAAAGTATTGGTATTTCCAAAAAGTTATATCTTTGTTAAATTTAAAGGTAAAACGTGGTTATACTGGGTGCTATGGTTTGGTGGGAATATATTCACCAATGTAGACATTCATATAATGCGTCTGAGGCAATCTGTCTAACTTAGAGCTCATTCAGAACAATTTGATCCGCGGACTAAATGATCCGCCGACTAAACATGGCCGACACACTAAAAAGCGATGTCGCTAACCCCTGCTGGTCTCCAAGCCTCCACACGCGCCTTCCTTTCAGGGGTCTAGCAATTAAACCTCGGAGCCGTGATTTAATCCGTTTGATTTATCAACCGTTCTTTTTTTTTCATCAGATTATCATCTAATAATAATAATAATAATAATAATAATAATAATAATAATATATTGATATAACCAGCGCCTATCATAGCGTTTGATGTAATTCAACTTGCTGACTATCAAAGAGCATAATGTTAATTATTACTACATGTATGCTCATCAGTGATATCCTAACCACAAAATGATTAGCCAAAATGCCCTTGTTGATAAACCTAAATATGACAGTGTAAAAATGTGAACACCAATGTCAAACGTTTCGGCCCAGTAGTGCCTTCCTCAGTATTATCTCCCGATTTCCTTACTACATTTTCCCTTCAAAGAACAACCAATCATTCAAAGTGAAAACAGTAAGGAAATCGGGAAATGAAACTGAGGAAGGCACTAGGCCGAAACATTTAAAAATGATGCTCATTTGTTTTATATTCTTGAAACTATCACTTCCTTTAGGAGGAATTTGCAAAAAAAAAAAAAAAAAAAAAAAAAAAAAAAAAAAAAAAAA